TACTGTTGTCTTTTGTTCGTTTTTTATATTTTGTCAAGACATTATTAATTCGTTTTCGACTTATGACTTTCACTATCCTTTGTTAATTTCTTTCTTTTTTACAAAGTGATACGTGGTAGAGGCATCTATGCGTTTGTTTTCCTGGAAAGTGCCACCAGTAGTAGAAACTGCATTGTAATGCCAAATTACAACACATATTAAGCAAATAATAGAATCATAACTAACTGGTGATATTATAAGACATTCTACATTTTCATCTTTAACAATTGTCTATTGTGAAATAGATCTTGCCACGTAGGTTTTAAAATTTGTAGAAAAAACCTCTGTTGGAAACATGCTTCCATTATTGACACTTCGGTATATTGCATCAATAACACATGTAAGTATATATCTAGATGCGTTATGTTAACCTGTTCAATTACTGTCAACTAAAGTTTCATTATGATATAGATGATAGTCTTGAAATTGACTGCCAATAAGTTAAGAGGCTTAAGCTTTAAAACTATTATGATGTTTAAATCATTTGGGTTTTGCAGTTACAAAAACTTCTCTTATATCATAATTTTTCAAATAACCACGTACTTATTATGTGGAATGAAGCTTAACAGTTTTGTTTATTACATTTCTTTTTTTTTATAACATACGCGCTTCTTGTCATATGCAGTGAGCACAGGAACGATGACACCAATGATGTACCAAGTCTACAGCGTCCGAGTATGAGAGGTTTTATCTCTAAATAAGCAAGCTGATTTTTTATATAGTTTTCAATTAAAAGGGAATGGGATCATTAATTCGTTCATTCGGCATTATTTGCCTCGAATGTGACATCACCTAATTAGACTCATTACCCAGTTTGTACTTACGTTATTAACAGGACGGGTTGCAATTGTGGAGTAGGATCAGCAAATCTGTTATCTTCTCCGGTTGATATTAGGTTTAGCGTTGCTCAGACGTTAGTTGTATAGGTTTTGTTTTTGCGTATTGTATTGTTGCCACGTCTTACCATAAACTTATAAATTTGAACATCCCTCCCGAATCTTCCGCCTCTTTTTACGAATATTTAATTAACAGTTACTTACCGCGTTTTACTATCTATTATAACATAGAGATGCGAAACTTGCGAAATAACTTTTGAAAACTCTATACTTAACGTAAGTAATATACATGTAGGTTACAATACACTATTGAGTAACATTAGCGTAGCCATTGGAATGACGATAACGTGCTATTCAGAGTTTGACTTATCCTGATTGGTCGTTTTGTGTGCCTGATATTCATTATTGTTTGACACTACGTGTGCTCTTTCATCATGCTCATATAATAAGACAAATGGCAGTTGTTTTCTATTCGTTCCGTTGGTTGATATAGTCCAATGTTTGATTTGGTCCAGTTTTATGATTTCCACTTTTTTTTGAATAAAGATTTTAATTAAGATTTTTTTTTATTTATATTTTTTTTTGAAATTTATTCTGATTTTTAGATCAACTTTGTCTGAGGGAGTTGAAATCCTCTGGCAAAGTTGGCCGTAGATTTATTTGGCTATTTTTTAGGTCCTTTTTGTCATATAGCTCTTCAAATGTTTCGGTTTTTATACACTCTTGGTTTTCAAGTATTTGGCTTTGAGCGTTCCTGAAAAGCGCTTCGGACGTATAAAAGTATTAAAGTGTTCATTTCAAGAACTTAATCCGTCAAAAGTCAAAACTGGAATATCGAATGACGTAGATACCTAAGGTTTTCATTACAGCTCTTGCTACCAACAGACCTAAGTGAAGGTCAAGAGATCAAGGTGATGGTAACATTTTCAATTAAGACCTTGTTATGGATTTATAAGGAAACTATAATTGCTAAATTTATTTTTTTTTTCTTTTGAAAGCTACAACCCTCATAGATAATCCCTATAGAAGGATCCTCAATGTCTTAAGTGATATTTACATGGAAACTAAAAGTACTGCGGACCTATGGTCTTCACCTGTTGACCCCTTGTGTGCAAATCAAAGGCCGAATTTAAAGCTAAATATCACAATGACCTTTGACATGTCGGAAGCCATAAGAGATGCAGAAAAAGAATCACAAGAGTATTACCTATCACATGAAACGGTTATCAACCACGGATAGGCACTTCCAGTTTCAAATATTCCCGTCATATAAAAAATAAGGATCGTATCATTGCTAATTAATTTAATGGGACAATTATCCACCAGAAACGAAAGGAAGAGTATGTAAGCAACTACATAGCGGTCACACAAAAACAAAAGTAAGAAAAATACCAATCTAATTCATACTAAAATAATAAACGAAAACGATTTTGGCATTCAGCAACTAACGACAATCACTGGAGTACAGGCTCCTGATTTGGAACAGGCACATGCAGAATGTCGGCGGAGTTAAACATGTTTTCGAGCGTCATACCCTTCAACATGTTCAATAACCTTGGACAGTGGTTTAACATCACAAAATTCAAAACTTAAAATAAATCGAATTGGAAGGATTTGACTCTTCAAACAAAGACTAAGAACCTCGAAAAATGAAACATCAATTACCGATCTAATAGAACTTGCAGACAATGAAAGCTAGTTCAAATTCCAATTCTAAATAACAAATAAACCATGTCCTCCGAAACTTACATATCAATCAGTACAACTCCAACGTATTTAACGTAACCACTTCATAAGAAGTCCAAGACAAAAGTTCCTGTATGAAATCAGCATCATATGAATAAAGTAACAAATCGGCAAAAAGAGGAACACAGTTGGTTCCCATGGGAATATCAAATGTTTGTTGAAAAACACGCCCTACAAACGTAACAAATACGTTGTTAATCAAGAAATCAAGCATCTTGATAATGTCAGTTTCAGTGAATTTTTCGTATGAATCGTATGTAATATTTACAAAGTGTGATTTATCCCTCCCTAAGACAAGATACTTGTATCTACGTTGGCCATTCTTTTTTTATGAAATAAAAGAGGAACAACTCTTTCATTTTGTATTTTAGTTTGGAATGGGGAATACTTGTGTAAAGTGTAGAAAAGTCAAATGTCTGAAATTGTATGTACTCTAAAAGATCTTTCGATTTTTTAGTATCTATATCTGATTAACGCCATCTGTAGAATAGGTAATTTCGCAATCACTTGGATGTATTAACTGGTTTAAGAGGGTATTCACTGGCTTAGGGCAACAACTTAAAGAAAGTAATCTATGTGTAAAAGTCAGCTTCGACAAAACAATAAAGATCTCATTTGAAACAGAAAATAAACTATCTGTGTTACTAAGAAAGGTTTATTATCTTTCGTGGTTGTCATGGTTATAGGTGAACCACGAAAGTATGAACGTATACATTTCCTACATATTTGTATGTAGAATGTTTAAATCAACCATTCACAAAAATATAATGTTTCCTCAAACTACAAAAAGTTATAGCTACTAGTATAAATGAATTCGCAGTATTTATTTATGAACCTCCTTGGCATCACCTTTTTCACCTAATAAGTGCCCACAGAAAGAGACATATGACAGTCAATTTCATGTGAAACTATATATGTGAGGTTACATGAGATTAACATTTTGTTTTCCTGATTAACCTTGATCAAATGAATTAGGAAAGCAAATTAGCTATCCATAAAAATAAGTTCAATGCTACTTGTCATATCTTAGGCAGACATACACTGCTGTTTACAATTGACATATAAAATGCAATTAAATTGTATGCATGGAAAAAAGTCGAAAATCTAACATGTATAATTTGATGAATGGAGAGGAAACAATTCGAGGTTAAAAGCAAGTTAGAAGAAAATGTACCCGTTACATTCAACCGGCATTCAAAATCTCGTTCACCAGTGTATCGGGCATAGGTATTAACCTTTTTTTCTTGAGGGTTAACCTGAAATTATGTCAAAGACCTATGACATATGTTAAAAGGATATACATTTGTAGACACCAAATATTGTTTACCGATCTTAAACATTAATTGGTTACACGCATACAATTGATAACCTTACGGTGCATACGTCCATCATTAGGTGTATACAACCAACCATCTTATTTGACTCACCAACCCATTTGAAATTGTATGATTAGAAGAAATTACCCGTATAAGTTGATACTTCATCCCAACTATGCTATCTTTCTGACGATAACATGTTACTGGTGTGTGTTATCACATTAATCGGTACAAATTTTACTGCACTAATTGAAGAAATCGAAATTAATGTTTCTTCATTGAAGCTCTAAATATCGAAAAGCAAAACATAATGGTAATAGAAACGTTAAATTTTGATCCGGATAAACCAGATTTGACCTCGAGAAATAGATGATCTCGGAATATCCATATTGATACATGTGAAGACAAATATATACGAAATAACCTTAATAAGTTTTTAACTCGTGAACTAAAGTTTTGGAATAAAAATGCATAAAAAAGTGTATGAACATCAAAACCAATTGATTCAGAAGAAAACAAGACACTCATATACAGTTATGTCTTCTCTAGATGTCATAATATATAACGGAATAGGAACAAATTTATAAAAAAAAAAATTGGAAATGGACGAGAGGATAAAATATTAGAAACCCGCAAATGAATATACTTGCACTTCCCTATCTATTCGTATTATATCCAACATGTTTTATTACAACACTAAATTAAACATGCAGATGTAAATAAGGTGGAAGTACTTGAATCTCATATTAAAGTGGAAAATCTATATTTGCTGATTGAGTAGGAAAAAACATCACCGGCTTGCGAGAACCAATGATTGCTAATTTGGTGTCTGGTTGATAGTGATCTCATTGGCAATCACACCACATCTCCTTATTGTTATATTGCTTAAATGTCAATATATAAATTTTCATTAGTTATTATAGTTGACAGCATATAATTGATATCCATTCCTTCAAAAACTAAATATTATAGTGTAAACAAAGAATCAATATTCTCGTTTTTGATATATTAAATTTCATCGAATTCAATTAATATTTAATAACTCCGACATTGATGATTAAAACGATTTAGAATACATGAAACAGAACTGCATTTCGTTTTCAGCAAAAATGAGAATAATTTTTATCTATATTTTGTGTGTTAAATTTAGGATTTGCTTCCAAGATACTGTAAACGGTGGACATTTCCAACAAAACAAGAAAATGAACTCTGTCATTCTCTTCAATCGCGACAATATTGGTCCCAAAATGTGCATTCGAGAATGTTTACGGATAAAGAATTGCAACGGTATAAACTTTCACAAGGATTTTCTCAACTGCGAGCTGTTGTCTGTTTCGAACTCAGAAAGTCAGTTGATCAGCAGGTCAGGGTTTAGTTACTCAAACATTACATACTGGACAATGGTAAGCGTACATCGTTTGTAGTTTTTTTTTCAAAAGAGATTTTTGTTGATTTATATATAAATAGATTTTAAAACACGAAATTCTTCATGAGATCCAAAAGATGTTTTTATTTTCCCCTAGCATGGATTCGAAATGACGGCTTATACATGAATAGCGGGCGAAGTTTACCCTGTTGACGCAACCGGTTTTGCTCATTTTGGAGCTCATGTGATTTCCTCAAATTGTGTTTGTTTTTTTTAACTTTGGATTATCCCTTCTTAATGTATTCGTGAGATTGAACAACAGAAAACACCAGTTTATCGAAATTGCTGAAACTTTGTTTATATTTACATTACTACTTAAAGAACCATAAACAAGATAGAATAATTTCACACTGATTACATGTAGTTCGCAACAGATACGTTAGATACCCATTCTGTTAGGGCGAATTTTATTCTGGAATAAACATCAGCAGGTATTCTCGAGACCAGGATTTTAAAATTATTGAGAAATTAAAAAAAATATATTTCTATTTTGTCAACTGTATATAACTAATTTGTCTGTATCTAAATATATAATTATCCAGTACAATGTATTTCAGGAGGCTGATAGTTGTTGGCCAAGTAAACCCTGCCCAGAGAAAACAAAGTGTAGGCCTTTACAGTCAAATGGTCATGTCTGCTTACAGTACGGTTTATTGAACGGTAGGTAAATAATTATCTTTAATTTGAGTCTGCTTTGATTATCAATAATTTTCTCGGATGACATGGCCAGATACAAGCCCTGGTTTCAGAGTTACGTAACGTTGTGATCATTTGCCTAGATGACATAATATATTAAAACTCCAAAAATACGATTCTTTTCAGTTTTCTCTTAGTCTGAGTTGCAAACATGATCATTTGTATGTTCATTTGGTATCATTTTAAATCATTTTTGTTAATGTAAATCGCATTGTTTTAAACAAAAAGATTGGATCAACTGAAATTGTTTCGTCAAACCTACTTTTTCCATAACCCTTAAGTCAGCAAATGTGATGCCAAAACCAAAAATATCGTGTCTTTTTTTTCTGAATCCTCATTTGGTTTGAGAAAATTCCAAATTTGTTTAGGCAAATTTGAAAATGAGAAGAGATTTTTTTTTAAATTGTATCACTGTAGTTTCAGTTTAAAGTTTTGAACCTTTATTTCAGACAGTGGCATTTGTCATCAGATATGAAGCAGTAGACAAAGAAATGTTCTCGCCAGTTCCAAATTTTGGATAAAAACTCAAATCTCGTATCATGGTAGTGTGATATGTCAAAAAAATACGAGAAATGCGTTAATTTTATTCAGCTTATCCCTCATCATGAACAATATTGCGATTTTTCCATCAAACGACAAAACATAAAAAGTTGTCTCGATGAACCTCAAGTAATTTCCTCAGAATACTGACCCTCACAGGCAACATTTTTTTCAAGTTTGTATGGTCAGTTGAAACAATACACTTTTTAATTTGTGAAATTCAATTGTAGAAATATTTCGAGAGAACATATCGTCACCGGGATTTCCAGTTTCGTATCATAACCAAATGAATGAGACTTGGAAGTTTGAAGTTGGAATTGGTAACATTGTCGCCGTACGGTTCACATATTTTGATTTAGAACGTTGCTGTGATTATGTAAAGGTAATTATTAACCTCCAGAACTAGAAATACATGAAACAGCAGACACGGCATCTTCCGCCTCATTTTTAGACTTAAATCTCGAATTTGACATAAATGGTCATATCAGTAACATAATCTATGGAAAACGAGACGATTTTAATTTTGAAATTATAAATTTCCCCCACCTTAGCAGCAATATAACTTCACCTGCCTATGGAATATACATTTCCAAACTCATTCGACATTCAAGAGCTTGCAGTTGCTACTCAGACTTTACAAAACGTCACCAGAGTCTGAGCAGAAAGTTGATGAACTAGAGTTATGTCAAAGTACGTCTCGTCTTAAAAAAAAAATTCATCGGAAGATACAAAGACTTTATTGATTACTATTCCGTTTCAATTTCACAAATAATGCATGAAAATCTTGAAGTATAGATTCTATGTAATGACGTTATCTATCATCTTAATTACGTATTACAGTGTTCTTTTTATATTTGTCTTTGTAAATTTTAACCTCTACTGTTTAGTCTATTTTGGTAATCAATAGATCAAATGATGAAAAGTTGGGTTAATCTACGCAATTCATTTCAGGTAGTTGATAATGGTACCTCTTTGTGTTTTCATTTCCTTTGTTCATATCGTCAACTTGGCACGTTTCGAAGTTGAGACATTTTAGAATATAATTATGTGGTTCTGCCTCATATCTTGACTTTCATCAACAAATTAACAGTGAGTGTCAGTTGAAAACAAACCTTCACGAAAACAGAGAAGATTTCAGCTTTCAAATTGTGAACGTTCTATGGGTATGTAGCAACATTCCAGCAGCACCTGCATATGTGGTATATCTCCCAATTGATACGATTTTCCAGAGGTTGCATTTCCGATCATGATTTCCTTGAAAGAGGGTTGCTGCTTACAAAAGAGCTATGGAACCTAGAGTTCCAAAGGGTGAAGTCATACAGACGCCATCACGAGTTGGTTGGCCGTAATGGAATATCTGTTTCACAGATAACCACAATTATATTTTTCTCGAATGTAAACTACCAAAATAGACTTATCACCGGGTTTTAAATTGTATGACAAACATGACGGGTGCCACAATTGGATCTAGATTTGCTTACCCTTACGGAGCACATGAAATCAACCAAGGCTGTGTTTCTAGTTTTTAGTTTTCTTTGTTCTGTTCTGTGTACTGTTGTATGTCTTTTCGTTGCTTTTTGTTTTTGACATTGCATTGATAGTTTTCGACTTATGAATTGAAATATCCCTTTGGTATATTTCGCTTCTCTTTTAGGATACCATACATTATTGCATTGATACTTTTCGACTAATGAATTCAAATATCCCTTTGGTATCTTTCGCCTCTCTTATAGGATACCATACATTATTGAATCGTTCGTTATTTAGCAAACCAAAGAAGGCGTTTATGATATGGAAACCAGTAGTTTAAATTCCTAAGTTCATACAATGAAGTTCACTGGAAAATCATTGTTTTGCAAACATATTATAATTTCATTGTTTTCACTTCTTAATTTTGCAGTCGTTTTATCGTCAAAGCAACACACATGATTCATCCTAGTAAATTTTTAACATGTTTTCACATTATTGTCTTCTTCATTTTGACATAGAAGTGGGAGGTTTAGCTAGCTATAAAAACAGGTTTAACCCACCATTTGCTTAACAAAAACCTGTACCAAGTCAGAAATATGGCAGTCATTTTTCATTGACTACTTTCATTTGATATAGTCAAGCGTTTGATTTTGTCAGGTTTATTTCCCCCTCCCTCTTTTGAATTTACCTCAGAGTTTGGTATTTTTGTTCATACTTTTTCAGGTGCATCAGAGATAGTGACCTAGTTCAGAAAGAGCAATCGGTAGAATCGTGAGCTGATAATACCGACTCTAATTCGCACAACACATTAAAGTTCAGCCAGTCCGAAAAATGAGGTCAAATGTATTAGCCAAATAGCATTAATGTTACAGCCAAAACCGATAATGGCTTATTGTTGAAGGCCGTATTGGGTTATTTCATTTATATTAATATTGGTAGAATTACTGTTTCTTATATTAACATCCTTGTCGATTGTCATACCACATCTTTTGAATTTATTGAAAATGAAGGGATATGGAGTAAATGTACATGGGACAAAATCGCACACAATACATAGAAAACATAGAAAATTATCAATGAACAGGGCTTTTATTCCTGTTCTTCATCTTGACAGTTGAACCAATCATTCATACTCTACAACAAGGTCAAGACGACCCTTAGCGTCGACTTAAGCGATAGGGAAAAAAGTAAAATAACAAACATACTTAACTCCAAGGAAAATTCAAAATGGAAAGTCAGTTATTTAAAAACAAAATCAAAAGCTCAAACACATCAAATGAATGGAAAACAACTGTGTTTTTTTTTTTGACGGCGTTGAATCCTTATGATATTGTATTCAGTCATAACGTGTTTAACAAGAGTGGCAAACTTTGGGGACCGCCAAAATCGGTCACCAATTTTTATAAATTATGAGTAGCTGAGTTGCTATCAAGACTTCAATAAAATTACACATGCGTCTACTATTATGACGAATCCCTCTTGAATATAATTTCCTAATTTGAGTATTTAGTGGAATGTATTTAGTTATTATTCAATTTTGACATGTTGCATTATTTAAAAGCCCTGCATAGTTGAAGGAAAATTTGATATTATCCAAATCCCTAAACTTTTATCAGCAAACAGTCAATCATTTCGAATGTAAGGTTTCCTTAAAACAAAACAATTGCTGAAAAAACCAAACAAAAGTGGCACAAAAAAAAATAAATAACATCACAAGCGATGTTCTTAAAAAATGAAAACAACATTTGAGTTTAGTATGACGTCCATTATCACTGACCTAGTATACATATTTGTCAAGGGGCCAGCTGAAGGACGCCTCCTGTTGCGGGAGTTTCTCGCTGCATTGAAGACCTATTGGTGGCCTTCGGCTGTTGTCTGCTCTATGGTCGGGTTGTTGTCTCTTTGACACATTCCCCATTTCCATTCTCAATTTTAACATGTAATATATAGAAAATGCGAAATATTTCAATGAATCATCACGTTACAAGACATCATCGGAACAAACGGATGTAATTGAAAGGTGATAATAGCCAAATTAGAATACAAGAGGGAGACGGGTAAAAAAAAAACCAAAAAAACCAGCATGATAAAAAATATAACATAAAAATAGAAATTATATTCACATTTAAAAGAAAACTAATAAACATGATAAAAAAGACTTCCAAATCACAAACTAAATCATATTAAAACATTAGATTTTACGCCAAAAAAACTATATTAAAATATTAGTCGTTATAAAAACACATAGAACTTATTTCTTTTTAATAATGCACGTCTTTTAATTCACTTGTTGTAGGTTTACGATGGTGTTGTCAGCGCAGATACACTTTTGGAAAGTTTAAATACAAATGTTGTGCTACAGGAAGTTCGTTCGACCAAACATTGCATGGTAATCATTATGACAACTGATGGCTCAGTCATAAAAGCAGGATTCAGTGCTGACATTTACGAAATTATTTCATAGATACATTAAATTCAAATATATTTAGGTAAAGTAAGTGTATCGGTCGGCGAATCTACAGTTTGATAATTCTGTTCATATCTCATTATGTTTGGTAGTACGATATGGATAAAAGGCTACCTTAATATTTTGAATGTCTTTTTGGTATATTTTGCCTCTCTTATACGCAATTCCACGCAAATTGTAATGCGCATTCCAGACATTAGTACCGAGATTGAATTTGAGAAACGTGCAATATCTTTAAAAACGTCAAGTGTCTTTATTCTTCGATTTCGTGAGTTGAAGAATATTGAAAAAAGAACGTGAAGTTGGCAAATTGTCCGAAAACGTAAATTGACATAGTCGTGAGCAAATATGGAATTTCTATTATTCTATTAATTACTGTTTAGTCACTATGAAAGTATGGATAACATAGCTTAATAACTCATGGTAGATTGTCAGTACTCTTTTGATCTATTTGTGAAAACATAATAGACAAACGAAGTGATATTGTTTTGCAATGCACGGATCTAAGTTATATTGAACTCCTGGACATCTTTTAGGCAGTGGATCATAATAAGGAATTAATATATCATTTTAAACGAATGTATACTATACTGAAAATAAAACAATCTTATTTCGAAACGACGTTTACGGATTGGAGAGAAAACGATATATTGCGTAATATAAATAAGACGAAAAACAACGTTCAAAAGGAAAAAAAAAAAAAAAAAAGACGGCGTACATTTATCTGATCTTGAAGAGTAGATAAAGATGTATATTTAGAGTTTTGCAGCAATTGATATGTAACTAAAATCGGAAGATTTGATTTTTGATTTGATTTTTTGTGTTTTAACGCCACTTTTAAGCACCGCTTTTGGGCTATTTCGTGACGGCCAGTTTTTATTGATGGAGGAAGCCGGAGTGCCCGGAGAAAACCACCGACCTTCGATAGGAAAACTGACAATCCTAGTCAATTAAGATCGGAGTCGAGTGCACCCGCACGAGCGGTGTTCGAACTCACAACATCAGTGTTGACTGGCTAGTGATTACAGTAGTAACTACTTAGACCACTCGGTCACCGAGGCCCCAAAATCGGAAGATAAAAGAAACATACGCAAAATGTAATTTACAAAATTTAGCGGGAATTAGACAATTTTGTGACAGATTTGATGGAGAAAAATTAACTTGATCCTTACAGTGTTATTTCTATTTGGCACATGTGAATTTTTAAAATCCTTGAATTGTATGTGTTTGAATATCTGATGTTATTGTTGATACTATACTGAGCTTTGGTTTGATGCTTGGTTCAGCCGAACTTTTGCAAAATCTAAAACTGTTGTCTGTGATAACTATGGATTATGGCGTTTCGACTAAATGGAAATAAGACAGGATGTTCCTATATTTTCCTGCAAAATGTTTATCAAAACTGATTGAAAGCCAAATCTACAACGAAATTGAAGAATTGAAAATAAAAAATATCGGTAATATTGTACCAATTCTTCGTTTTGCCGCTATGTGGTATGGTAAAATACCGAGATTTTCCGAATGATTTCACGTACGGGTACTGAAAAAATTGGCCTATCAAAATATTAAAACAAAAACATCTTTTAATGACAAATTAGTTTAACACTGATTGTAGTCAAACAGAGGGAACACATGTCATTATAAAATATTTTCTAAAACTTCACAATTGATTGGAGTTCGAGATTCTATTATGAATTGGTATTGAATTTTTAAAAAATACTGTTATTTTTTTCAAACAGAATTATGACCAAGTGATTCAGTTGTGGTTATTGTTATCCATGCAATGACTGTTTTTCACGATTTACTAATTTAATTTGTGTCAATTCATTCCATGCATTTAACCATACAAATTTAAATACAAATTAAAATGTAACATTGATTTTGCTATTACACGGTAGGTAGAATCATAGATGTTTACCATGCTGCATTACAAAGATAAAATGGTGCATCAGCTTAAATAAATTAACTGAATTATTATACAATTAATTTATCAATTATTCAATATTTAAATTGGAATGTGCTATATTAGATAGACACATTATTCATTTAGAATAAAATATCCGTGATCGAATATAGGAATAAATAACAAAAGAGAAAACGATAAATATTTAAGAAACAGAAGAAAAAAAAAATAATTATACATGTATATTGTGATACTAACGATTATATTATATATTTTTATTTTCACCAGATGATTAAAAAGAGGACTGAAAGAACGTGTACCTTACATTTGATATAATTGATTTAGGCGCTTATTTACTATAACGGTGGTGTAATAGCCTCATTCGTATAAAGGTTCGGTTCGATGCATTTCACAACAACGCTAACAATCAACCGATGTTCAAACCTGAGAATCGGAAACAAGAATTATGTTTTAACACAAATTTTTTGATCCATTTCTTCTTGTAATTCTTTATTTCGCAATTACTTCAACCTTACACTGCTTTATTTCTATAGTAACAATTGCAATACTTCTACTAGTTTTTGGGATATTTTGGTCCGTTTCCTTTGTTTGTTCTCGTTTTACATGATGCAAAATAGTTAGTTAGCTTTCGTTTAAGGTGGTACCCAATACATTGACTAATACTAATTTGGCTCGTTTAATTTTCCTAAAAATTTGACAAAATGTTTACTTTGACCCTTTGACAAAAATATAAAAATTTCAAATAATTTGAACCAACCACTTTATCAGAAAAATTTGACTGGTTTTATAATCTTGATATTTCCTTAACAATACAACGTAATTAAAACGTTTAGCTGATTTTTACAGAGTTATCTCCCTGTAGTGTTAGGTACCACCTTAAAAGGAACGAGAATGACATCTATAAAATATCGTACAAAATCCATACCGTTTAGTAAAAAGTAAAATAACAATAATACCAAAATCCAAGGAAAATTCAAAACAGAAAGTTCCTTATCAAATTGCAAAATCAAAAGCTCTAACACATCAAACGAATAGAAATTAACTGTCATATTCTTGTCTTGGTACAGGCCTATCCTTATGTAGAAAATGATGGATTGAACACGGTTTTTATAGATCGACAAACCTCTCGCTTATAAAAGACCCCCGCATGACAAAGTGTATAACAATTAAAAGAAACAAATACTGCCTAATCAATGTTACAAACAATAAACGAAACGAGATGAATTACGTGAATATTGATTGATTGTTTGTTGGTGTTAAAAGCTACTTTTAAAGCACTTGGCTTTACAATGACGACCAATTGGTATTTTTGTAGAACGCCTGACCTTCAGCGGGAAGTTGGCTAAAATACACTGTTCAGGCTATAGCTAGCAGGGTTCAAAATTATGACCTCTGTGTATTACGTGAAGTGGAATCTGCAATATGTGCAGTAAAGTGCTATGTTTTTATCAAAGGTCTTCATTCTTTCCGTATTTATTTCCCTTTTCCTCATAAAAGATGATAAAAGAGGATATGTACTCCAAACACTGTAAAAACAGGATCAGCAAAAACCTAAAACATGTAAAATTTTGCCCTTCATGAATATCACATGGCGGTGTAATTAATTCAAAAACTTCTCTAATAAGTAACATGACCCTTTCAAGTTAAAAATTGCAATATCATTGTAATGTTTTTCTTACAGCTTCATTATAGTCATATATTTACAACAAAATAAGGATAATCTATGTTATTTTAAAACTTAGAAAATATGTATGATATGGTTGTCACTGATGTACCAGGGTGTTGTCCCTGAACCTAAGTATAGTTGCACCTGTATATAAAGGTCGGCCTCAGGTCCGGAAAAATATGACCTTATTAGAGAGGTGACTTTTGATTGAAGGTTAAAAATACAAAGGTATTGCTAGAACGGAATTATTGACCTGACGACACAATCTTTTGCTTAAAAGATTAAACCTTTATTGCAGGTTTGACTGTATTTATTATCAAAATAGTTACCTACTGCACGCATGATATTGAGACATGAATGTGTAAATGACAGTTCTAATTGATTCCAATGACTGAGTATGTTACCTAATCATCAATACTTCATTAAAATTTGAAACATCGTTTTGAGAACAAATGAACCGTCATAAAAGCCTCTTAGGTCTTTTGTTCTGTACAAGAATGTTAGTTTCATAAATATTTCGCTATTTAATCGCCTTTCAACATGTATTGTTGCTTTAAATTTTTCAGCTAAAACATCTGTGAGATGGCCCATTTATTTACCAGTTATCTTATTTTAAGTTTAGATTGTACAAACATTCAAGACTTTGCTCCTAGTACATTCCGATGTTACAATTTAGTTATTCGTTGAGGAAGAGACATTTCTAAGTTACAAACAAACACCAAAGCATCGCATAAATTTTAATAATGGTTTGTTTTAAACTCTATGCTCACATGGGCTTTAAACTCTATGCTCAGATATCTTTTCTAAAGATAGTACTTGTCTTAAGTTTTTGCAGTATCAATTCTCTAATAATCTCTGAAATTTTTTGGGGTTTTACTTTATCTATAAATGATTGAAACACATGAATAAGCCATTGAAAATAAAGAAAATGAAACTGTTAAATGTTATTGACATATTAACATTTTCCATTATAATCGAATAGAACGCTATTTTAAAAAAGTCATGGGTTATCTTTAAATTTTAAGATACAAAATCCAAAAAAACAAGAAGAAAAAAAGTGCATTTATAGTTTTCACAAATATTTATCGGCATGAATAAACGCGCGTTTGCTAATTGCACGTACTTGTAAAGATGTAAAATCTGTAGTAAACGTCCGTGAGGTACTGACTAAACGTAATCATATTTAACGCGCGTTTACTAGTAAACGCACAAATTGGAGTTAACAAATGAAATAAAAATTATGATGTCCATTGCTTTACACCATGTTTAAACAATATAACGTTCTTTTTCATGCATCCCTTCAATTCCTAAATTTCATGCAAGCCCTTAAATATTTTGTGTATATTTTTTGTTAAGTACGGCTAAACTTTATTTTTTTCTAATTTAAGCGTTAAATAAAAAAAAACTTTGCCTTCCAACCTATACAATATTCTAGTAAGAGTCAGGAAACAAACAAGTTTTTGCTGACACCGTATGACCTTATTACATAAGTTCACAGTTTACCGTTATTCAAACATATGCGAATTGATTGAGC